CTCAATGGGATTGGATGAAAACTCTGAGGATGGACGTTTTCTCCTGTCCCTGAGGCCGAATCGGGTGACCAGGGGGTGCAATCGAAAGCTCTCGGCTTCAGCTTTCAGATTCCGGGCTCAAAAACGGGCTCCTGGCGCTAGTTTAGGAGTAATCGGGCGACAAAGGGGCGAACCGGGGGAAATTCCGGAAAAAACGGATTTTAGGCCGGGGAAAAGTAATGATTTTTTTCAACAAAAAGTGACGCTTCGATTTTCCTGATATGATTTCTAATGGATGGGGGACACTTGGGACTTTTTATCTGACAAAGTATCAAAGTGGCGTCTCGTGTGGAAGTATGAAAGCGAAGCTTCCGAAAACTAGTTTTCTCTTTTTTGAAGCCTTAGAAACGGCCAAATAGGTCGATATTGAAATCAAATGAAAGCTCTTGACGAGAGCTTTCGATCGCGCTATCGCACGACTCTGTAGCTATAGCCGTTCTCGAGATAGAAGGGGTTGAAGAAAAAACTTCTCCGGGCATTTATTCCGTCCAGGAGTACTAATCAGATCCGGGACCATGCGGAAAATATTCCTCTCAAAATTACCTTTCGATTGAGACCCCACTCGATAAAATCGGTTTCCTAAGTCTGAATTTGCCCAGACCCTTTACCCTCATGTCCGACTCTCAACCTCTGGTTCAGATTTCCTCACCTCAAAGATAACTTCTCCCGCTTACCTCAACTCGGATGCAGCATTACGCGATCTACCTGGTGGGCTTCACGTTCGACATAATCTACCGCCGCACCGACAAGCATCACTATCATTGCAGAGGCATTGTCAAGGCTGCCGGCAAACAGCGGAGAATTTCACACAGAGGACGGCATCGAAAGTTTTCTGGTGAATCAGCTGCAAGAGGTCCCCTTGAATTTCAAGGCGATCGCGAACGAGAGCAGAAGGTGCAAACAACTTCGTCCGCTTTTCAGCGATCTAAGGCACCAGCTAAATAGTCGCATGATGCCCCGATACTTTGGAATCGACCCCTGCGAGTTATCTCTACATGGGGACGCAATCATCCTCCGAGGTCATCGGGTGGTAGTCCCGAAGACTTGTCGAGAAAACATCCTAGTCGAGCTACATTAAGGACACTACGGCGAACGTGAGATGAAGGAGCTCGCACGACGATACGTTTGGTGGTGGGATATCGATGAGGATATCAAGAAGGTGGTGCTGTCTCGTAACTCGTAACGCATGCCTTGAGCACGCCAGGAATCCTCCGAAGGAGCTTCTACTCGCATGGCATCCATGCCAAAGCCCTTTCGAGCGGATACGCTTGGATTGTGCGGGGCCAATCGACGGAAAATACGTCCTACTTATCGTTGACGCTCACAGCAAGCGGCTCGGAGCCTCCATCACGCAAGGAAAAACGAGTAAAGAAACGTTGAAACACGTTCGCGGAACGGTGTCCCGATTCGGTTTACCTAAAGTAATGGTAACTGACAACGACCCAACGTCTGCCTCCGATCTCATGAGGAGCTTCCGCGAAAACAAGGGCATTCGACTGATGCATCCACCTGCCTACCAACCTGCTTCGAATGGCCAGGCCAAATGATTCGTTGCAACCCCGAAAAACGCCTTAAAGAAACTCTCGACGGAGGGAGGAGACATCCATACCAATTTGTGTCCGTTTTTGTTTCTACAAAGGATGGTGTCGAGCTCTACCGGAGAGAGTTCTCATTGCGCATGATCGGAAGGGAGTTGCGCTCCAGATTGGACTTGTTACAGGAAGTTCTCCGACATTCCGACAGAGCCGACGAGAAAGCGAAGTTTGAAGTCGGTGATCCGGTCATCGTCCTCGACTACTATAGATCTCGAAAACCGAAATGGATCGCGGGCAAAGTCGTGAAAAATCATGGGACAAGTATATGTATGTCAGGTGAGGGTTCCCCATGGTATATGGAATCGTCATTTTGAATAGATCCGCCCCAGATAAGATCATGATCAGCCGGTTTCTGCAGAGCACAGCTCGATTCTCGCCGCAGTGCTTTCGGTTCCCAAATAACAGGATAGTCCACCACCAAGCTCAACAGCTTCACCGGGAGAGCGAGTGGAATCTCTCTGGAATCCTCTGAATCGATCGAAACCAGCGAACGAGGCCCGACCATCCGAGGGCACTGCGGAACGAACGATCCAACTACCGACTCCGACATTCCAGATGAGTATACGGATGCCGAGAATGTACCCGTTCCCCCCGATGAAGTACCCTCAGCGCCAGAAGGAGTTCGTAGATCCCAGCGGAGGATAATTTCGAAAGCGCAGAGAGTTGCAATGCGGATCCCAGGACCGTATGCGGACCGACGGGCGGTCGAGTGCTTAGCGTGTTTGTCACTCCTAGTGCCAACGTGCTCTTCACGAAGTGAAACTCACTTCGTGACGTTTTCCACTTCGTGAAGTGCCGCTCGCGCGGGGGGTGGCGCGGGCTCGATCCCTGCTGCCGGCGGAAAATTCTCGACGGAATTTCCTCACAAAGCAACAGTTACTCGGCGCTTTCGTAGGGAATGATCCTCCTGGGTACATTTGTTCCACGGATCCGTCTTCGGAATCTCGTGAACAACAGGTCTCGTGATTCATACATATATCGAGTCCTCAGTCAGATTCTCCAAGAATGAATTCATACAGCGAGCGTAGTGATCCTTCAATGTGCGCTACAGCGGTTCCTCGATGCATATCGTTCACGAATTGAGCGGAACAAGGAAGTGATCATTAACGTCGTACATCGTACCATACGTGCACTTAACCACCTTCGACGTGAAAAGCACCATGGCTTCAAGTGAGGCAAAGCCCTTGCGGAAGGTGAAGCTGGCAGTTCGCTATGCCTCACGAAGCCCTTTCTTTCGGCCCTTCTCAACGAATCCTCAAGAGGTCGACGACGAGATCACAAGACTGAAGACGATCACCGTCCTTTGTAAGAAATGCGAGCCCCCCGGTATTCCCAAATGCAAAAGCAAAGTTTCCATAGATCGCACATCAAATTTGACGACTCGTCTCAGGCGGCATCACGAGCCCCAAGTACGTAATGCTTTCGTTTAATGACTCACAGAAATGCGACAAGTCTTCGTTTCACGCCATCCTGTCAAAAATTCAGGTTGAACCGATCGCTGTGAAAATTCAGGGACAAGTTCCCGGGAGCTTCAGGAATGTCATATGAGGGTCGTCGTTCTCATGTGATGGGTCCTCCCTCCATAAAAACATTATTGTCGCCGAATGACTCCTCGATTATGGATTTCGCGAGCAAGTAATGACTTTCCTCCTATTGGAGGTGGTCAATCGCAGCCAACGCTTTCCCCGATAGCGATTTGCGGAGAAGATTCAACTTCTCAATGGCTGGTGCCGGCGTCTGGTCCACGAATACCGAAAATACCCGTTGTCATTCCCGGAATTTTTTCGGATCGCCCGCGAATTTCGGCACTTCTCGGGCATTTCTGCCGAGAGCGAAAGGTGCCGCCGGGAGTATGTTGTGAATGCTAGCCACTGCCTGAGCCGTTGGCTGTTGCCGGGACTGGCTGAGCGGCTGACCACTTTGAATTGAGTTTTCCACGACCTGCGATGGCTGAGATGAGATCTCCGTCGCCGAAGACTCGTCGGATGACGTAGTCTCCTGTTCTTGATCGAGACCTGCCGGCAGACTTCCCGTGTGTGAAAAACAACTGATGTCGTCTCCCCGACTGGGCAGGTTCGGGCGGGACCCAATCATTGGGGGTACTCTCGAGCGCCATGGCTGCTGCTGAAGTTCCCGAGGAATTGACCTCGGACGCTTCAGGTTGGTAGTTGTCGATAAGGTCGGCGATGTCCTCGATTACATCGTCGTGAATCATGAGCTTCGCCTAAGGGTCTGGGTAGCTCCGATTCAGTCCTAGCTCTGCGGATTCCTAGCTGTGCGGATGAGACATCCAAGCTCAGAGAATTTTGATGTGGTTATGCTCGCTTCCCCGCTTGGCGATTCTACGATTAAATAATCTGAGCCTTCGACGACGCTGCGGCGCCGCGGACTCGTTTGCAGTGGACCTAAAATTTATTTCATCCCGAGAGGCGATGTCCGTCTTATCTCAAACCCTCCTAGGGAATCCCGCTCATCGATTCGGTCTGATCTAGGTCACACTGAATAATGTAGTGTATGCCCGCCTTCGTCCTGATGCCCTACGAGCGGGCCTGTGTCGCCTCATGAGGCAAGATGATGGGCTCCTTTCGATATTATTTCAACTCTGTGATCCGAGCCCTGATTCCAATTCACTTACATCTATCCGTTCATTAAGCGTCCTACCATTCCAACCTGCCGCGGGGAGGCCGCGAATCGAGAGGTGATCCTGCATTCGCGTGAGGAAGGCATTCTGATATCGGCACCGTCACGGACTTCATTTAGACGAATTTCGATAATCCAAGAAATTCGGGGGAATCCAAGATTGATATTTCGTTTTTCGCGAACAGAACCACGAAGCGCAGATCTCAAACACAGACTGTATGAAATTCCGATCGATAGAAGGGGCTGAGTGAGAACTTCTTCACCAATTAAGCTGAGGGACGAGATTCCGGAATACGACCCACGAATTCCTGGGGGGTAGCGCGCTCGAAGTTCTTGCGTCTCGAGAGGAAGTTCCGAAGCCGGATTCCGCATTGAAGCACTCTCGAGTATCAGTATTTAAGCACAGACCAGCAAACCCAGACTTCATTCGCGGTCCCGGTGCTCGAGATCTAAGGTCGTTTGCTCTAAGTCAAGTCGGAGGTTCTACATAAAGTCGGTGTTCTACACAAAGGGTGTTCAGTTTGCGTAACTCTGCTGTCGTTGAGGCGTGCGCTCTTCCCTGAGAACCTACTTTCTCCGGATGTTCTGTTCGAGGCTCCTGCTTCCGGGACCGACAGCAGGACAATATTCATCGTCTTGCATTCGAGAGGAGCAGCGCGTACCGAACTGGGAATCTCAAAACATTGAGAAGATCTGGTTTCGGGGAACGGAGCAACGATAATCGTGATGCGAGCCTGTATCTTCATCATAGGTCTGCTCGGCGTCGTTTTCGAAGCGAACGCTCTGTACGACTCCAGAGACGAAGTCGTCGAGCTGACACCGGACACCTTCAGCAAGCGTGTCCTCAACGGAGACCAAGTATGGATAGTGGAGTTCTTTGCACCCTGGTGTGGCCACTGCAAGAACCTCGCATCCGAATACAAAAAAGCAGCACGAGCTCTCAAGGGCATTGCCGGAGTCGGAGCTGTGGACGCCGACCAACACAAATCTCTGCCTGGTCAATACGGAGTCCGAGGCTTCCCCACATTGAAAATCTTCGTGCCTGGAAATTCTAAACCCATAGAATACCAAGGCGCCCGAACCGCTGATGGCATTGCCGATGCCGTTCTCCGCGAAACGAAAAACCTTGTCAACAAGAAGCTCGGCAAAAGTTCCGGGTCTGGCGGTTCATCGTCGGAATCCGGGGGCTCAGGAAACGACAAAGACGTGGTTCAACTGACGTCGGAGAACTTCCGGAAATTGGTGCTCGACTCGAAGGACATCTGGCTGGTCGAGTTCTTCGCTCCATGGTGCGGACACTGTAAAAAGCTCGCGCCTCATTGGGCTAAGGCCGCGACTCAGTTGAAGGGGCAAGTCAAGCTCGGAGCCGTTGATTCCACGGTCTACCAAGAGCTCGCTCTGGAATACGGCGTTCGCGGCTATCCGACGATCAAATACTTCCCCGCCGGACCTAAGGACAGCAACTCGGCTGAGGAATACAACGGCGGCCGAACTGCGGACGATATCGTTGCCTGGGCATCCGAGAAAGCAGCCGAGAACGCTCCTCCACCCGAGGTTGTCCAGCTTACCAACGAAAAGGTTCTTAACGCCGCTTGCTCGGACAATCAGCTCTGCATCGTGGCCGTCTTGCCGCACATCCTGGATTGCCAGTCCTCATGCCGGAACGACTTCATCACGGAGCTCAAGAAGCTTGCCGAAAAGTACAAGAAACAGAAATGGGGCTGGGTATGGTCGGAAGCCATGGCGCAACCGAAAGTGGAGGAAGCTTTCGAGATCGGAGGATTTGGCTATCCTGCACTCGCTGTCATGAACTCGCGCAAGATGAAGTACTCGCTCATGCGTGGCTCGTTCTCCTTCGACGGAATCAAGGAGTTCCTCCGGGAAGTTTCCTTCGGAAGAGGACGCAGCGCGCCTGTGGCTGCAGCGGAATTGCCCGAAGTCCAGTCGATTGAAGCATGGGACGGAGAAGACGGCAAGCTCGATGAGCCCGACGATATTGATCTCTCCGATGTGTCCCTTGATGAGGAAGAAAATCCCGCGAAAAACAACGAGCTTTGAGCTGACCCGCGGAGCATCAACAACCGTTCTCTTCCACATGGTCTCTCTGTGAAGACGTTGTCGCGTTCCATCCCCCGCGGCATCGAGCTGTAGTTTTGTAACTTATGGGGAGGGTAGGAGTCATGGACCACAGAAAATCAAGGTCGGAACGCGTAGAGAGATATATTTTCCTTCTCGATGAATGCAGGCTGTGAGCTTTTTCTGAATTCAGGAAAATGCCCCTTCGGAAACTTCAGCAACTCGTTTGTTTGCTTGTCGCAACTCACATGAATTTTCTGACTGTACATACATAGCTTAGCGGATCAAATAAAAGAGCGAAATCCATTTCCATCAGATGGATTCCGCAGGCGAATGTCTACGAGGAAAAAAATTCTTCCGCTATGTCAATGCGCGGCTTCGGGGGGTTCCCCCGCCGGTCCGCTCAGGGATTCTGGGACTGGAGACCTGGTGACAGATTCCGCTGCCATGGCAGACCTCTTCCTCCAATACTTCGGCTCAGTCTACACGGCACAGACGATGCAACCCACGCAGGCCTCTGAGCAGGCTGACCTGAGTCCCGCTCTCGCCATCGATGCCCACACGGTATCAGCACTATTACACAAGCTACCAATAAAGACATCTGTAACCCCAGTTGTCTTCCCACCGCTCTTTCTCAGAAACCTGGCCGACTAACTGGCCGAACCCCTGACTCTACTCTTCTCACGTTCTCTAGCCGAGGGCGAAGTGCCCACCGCCTTCAAACTCTATGTTGTATCGCCGATTCACAAATCCGGTAACCGGAAGACTGTGGAAGACTGTCGTCCTGTGGCCCAGCTCTCGATTCTTTACATCTTGATGGAGATAATCATTCCAAGATACATCGTTGACTTCCTCGCGTCCACTGGCAGGCTCGATCGCCACCAGCATGGGTTCTGCAAGGGGAGGTCCACGGAGTCTCAACTGCTTGAGTTCATTCCGGATTGGGGCATGGCGGACTGTCGCGACAAGGCCATCCATGTTTTCTACTTTGATTACTCCAAGGCATTCGACAGGGTGGGCCACTCAGCACTCCTTGCCAAGCTCAGAGCTCTCGGGGTCCGCGCAAGTGTCGTCGACTGGATTGCGGACTACCTCTCAGACCGCTTGTTCGTTGTTCGGATAGGCGAATCTTTCTCAAGACCGGCCCCTGTCCCTCCGGCGTCCCACAAGGCTCATTCCTTGGACCGATCCTGTGGACGGTGTTTATCCTTGACATCAGGAACTTCATCCCCCTTGAGGTTTCATACAAACTCTTCGCTGACGACCTGAAGCTCTACGTAGAAATCGGCAATGATGGCTCTCGTGAATCACCCCTTTGCAGGCCGTTGATGGAGACAAACGAGCCTAGAACTCAAGAGCTCCCCTGAGGAAGGATCCTCTGACCGACCTACGGCTCGACACGAAATTCAATTTCGACAATTTCTTGCCATTTGAGTTCTGCATTGCGGAACCGGAACGAATACACGTTCTATCAGCCATCGGAACCAGCGGCCGACCAGGAAGTTACGAAGAAAGCGCACCGCTTCCTCTAAAGATCGTTCACAATCGTCATCAAGCTGCGCCAATCCCACCCCTCCGAAGAAATGGCGATTTCGAGGAATATGGAGTCAGCACAGGGTCAAGCTCACGGTGCGGAAGGAGCTCGGTATCTCAAGAGGAAACTCTGTGAAACCGTTGACGACTTCGTGAGGAGTCACGAAGCAGCAACTGTGGAGACCGGGATTCCTCTCGACGACGAGTCAATCCAGATGGCCCTGCGGTATCTGGCTCTGTTCCCTATGGAGGAAATAGACATCAATTCCTTCCCCGTGGAATACAAATTATTCCTGAACATCTACGGGGGCGTACGCCTCCCGCATTTCGA